TTTCTGAAAAGAGCAATAAAGTTTTGTCTCTTCCTCATTATGTCTATAAATCTTTATGTGTCTGTTTTCTCCACGACTGAGGCTAAGAGAGGAAACAATGAGTTTACAGTGAAGATAATGATGGGAATAATAGAATTGAGAGAAACGCATAAATAAGGAATATTTAAGTGATCAGTTTTTCGAACTTTCTACATTAGAGTACTGGACCCTCAACGTTTGATACACAGACCTTACTCTGTGAAACTTTGGCAATGTTTGAAATGTTTGTTTTTGAGTGCATTTTGCTAACATCATTAGGCAAATACGTATTTAACAGTTCAAAATAATCCAGAATTATCCCTGAACATTGAGCCCTCTGCATCACAGTGTGCCGTTATTTTGCATTATTTCCAAGTTTCCTGCTCACCGATGCGAGCGATGGGTACTCCAGCTTGTAGCGTCTGCACTGTGCTGTCTACAGCAGCCTGGACGGAAGGAAATGAGCAGACGGCTGACACCATGGCCTCTGGGATGCCATAGAGGCGTAATGTGGTCTTAGTGATGATCCCCAGGGTCCCCTCTGAGCCTACAAACAGGTTTGTCAAGTTATAGCCAGCTGACGTCTTCCTGAGGAGAGAAACCAAGACAGAAGCAAAGGTAAGAGGCTTTCAAGATCATAACGATACATCACATTTGGCCGGTGAGTACCTGGGACGGCGGTCCTTCCCGGCAGTGTGTACGATGCTCCCATCAGCCAACACTACCTCCAGGTTTATAACATTTTCCCTCATAGTCCCATAACGCACTGCATTAGTACCTGATGCACTGGTGGCAGCCATACCACACAGAGATGCATCAGCTCCAGGATCTGAGACAAACAAAGCACATAACCAGGGTTGGGTCAATTATTAAAAAAGGACACATCTGTAATCTGACAGTAACTTTGTATAACCCAGATATTTACAACTTGGGACAACCGTGAATAAGAGGGCAGCTGTCATGAACTTTAATATTTTAACATGCTAACTGAGGCCTGTAGCACATGCTCACAGTTGCTGATGATCAGTTAATCAAGTGCACTTGATTAGCAGTACCTGGCTGCTACCTACTCTCTTGTACTTGCTTATAGAGAAGCAAAGATTCCTGTGCATGTGAAAAAACCCTAAAAACATCCTGCATTGAAGTATTATTTAGGTATTCTTTCATCATCTTTTAACACTACCATCATAGTTGGGGGGTTTATCATCACATTATATTATTATATTATATAATATCAACAGTGTTGGGAAGGTTACTTTTAAAATGTATTCCATTACAGAATACAGAATACATGCCCCGAAATGTATTCTGTAATGTATTCTGTTACGTTACTCAATGAGAGTAACGTATTCTGAATACTTTGGATTACTTAATATATTATCATGCTGTTTACAACTACATGAATGTACTATTGCTGTGATT